CGACTTATATCGTTACACATAAACATATTCTTCTAAAACTGAATGTCCCGTGTGTTTCGGTTGTGCTATTTTCGTCCTTTTTTATTTGCAATTGTTTATGACTTCGGCAAAACATACTTAAACTAAACGACGTTGTCTGCTTGTGTTAGAAATGAACAATGCTGTTTATATTCCACTGCATTCTCTTAGAAACATTATCCGACCCAGACACGTAATTCATCGTTTTAAAAGGCGTAGATTTAGCACAAAAAAAATCAACAGAAGAGAAAACCAGACACATTCTAAAATATGGTTGTGATATAACAATAAAACGCAACAGAATCAATCAGACAAAACCCGATATGTTTTCAAATTGATTTCAATTTCATTAAAAAAAACAGTGTGTGCCGTTTGGGATGTTATGGTCTTCGCTACAGCTTAGCACAAGACGATGACGTAGAACGTCTAGTTTTGACGTCACTTATATCAGTTCTACCTGGTCGGTGATCTTGGCCGATATATTCGACTTACCCCTGAATTATTGCATAACATCACTGCCTAAAACTTTATTAACTGCGACAAACGGACAAGTGTACTCGTCCAAATATTTTTTTGCGTATACTAGCCCTAATCGTGACTAATGGGCCCATGCGGTTATGACGTCAGAAATTGGCACGCCGTGCGTCAACACTCGCGATTAAATTGCATTTTGTGTGCTAGCGTTACAAAGGTCATCCCCGCCAATAGTAAGGCACGCTAATGGTTTTATCGTAAGACGTAAACCTGCCGCGACACTGCCGTCTCAATATCACTCCAAGAAGTGTATAGTACAAGTAATTAAAGCAGAGTCTATAACGCAATACACAACAACAAATTTTGAAAAAGGAAAACAAATAATGATGAGTTTTTAATCTAGGCATGTTGATACTGAAGTTTATGCGATATTTTCGAGACAGTTCACCTCTTTGAAAGCTAAAAATGTTTTAAGACATTTACGGATCAATAAGGAAATTAATTGATAACAGAGGAATTATTAGCACAACATGCATTTGGTTTAGTCATTTATAAATCTACTAGGAAAGTGGAGTAGAACAGTTCACATATAAAAAGGTATATACAGTAAGCCAGTTTAAACAATATACCGATATACAAAGTACACAGGTGTACTCAATACACCGGATACACTACACCGGTATACACAAAACACCGGTATACACGAAACACTTGTATACACCGTACACCGGTTTACACAGTAGCCACGTAAACACAATACACCGGTATACACAGTAGCCAGGTAAACATAATACACTGGTATACACAATCCATAGGTTTACACAATATACCGGTATAAACAGTACACCGTTATACACAATACACCAGTTTACACAATCCATGTCTACACAATACACCTGCATTAACAGTACATTGGTATACACGATACACCAGTTTATACAAACTGTTTACACAATACACCGGTATACACAATACACCGGTATACACAACACAACAAGATACACAATGTACATTTTTAAAACAGGAATGCTGGTAAACCAGTTTACACAATAACCGGATACGTTTATTTGAGTAAACTCAATACATATGGGGCCTGTTTGTTTATACGGAATAACTGATTCGTCTGTTTTTAAATGTAACATTTTCGGGTATAAATCCTGGCAGACCTGCAAACGTTCATGTAGGCCTTGCAATGCTTTATCAAGGCTCGCCTGAAAGCAGCATCAGATTACTAGGTCCGAACTTATTTCTAATTATTATATAAACGAACAAATCTGGTCTAACTGGTCCCAAACCGTTTGGATCGCGATAAACAAAAACGGCCAAGTATACACCTGGACATATTTTGTTCATAGTTAACATTTTGAAATCAATATATAGCAACGTCAGCTGGCGCAAACCAATCAATTTAGATTTAAACTCCCCTTGAACTTTTCCAATTATGAACTAAGGAAGTAATAATTTATAATGTTTTCTAACATATGCCATAAAGATCACTATTCGTTTGTTTAATGCTTTACTTCCTCGTAACAACTGGGTCGTAATACATAGTTTAATGTCTCTGAGCATTAAACAAGGGGAGAACACCATTATACAGAGAGTCCTATACAACGTGACTCGTTCGGCGCACAATATGTTTCAAATCTAAATTCATTAATACCTTTAAACTAGTATATCAATTTACAACTTCTCATTATATCACAGTCTTTCTTATTTACAACTGGCCTATTCGTTCCCGGAACCTGACGTAATAGCGATTACTGATGACGTCATATGTCATAACGATTACTTAAGAAGTCATACTGATTACTAACTACGTAATACTGTGTACGATTTTTCTGAATTGCAATATCGATTGTGACGTCATAATCTCTACTGAAGTTAATGGTGTAGCGAATATGTGGCGGCAATGCATGCATTCATTCTCTTAATGTTATGTTGATTTTAGAAACGTAGTTTTTCACTTGTTTACCCTTTAATAGCTGCATGCACTACTCACCAACATGCTCCTGGCATGTTAATGTTCATGTAAAATCTTTATTCTTTCAACATTCTTGCAAGATCGCCTGTTCGATATTATGAAAACGAAGTTTTAATTATTTTCGTTCACATAATTACCCTATTATTGTGCCTGCAAACCATGTCAATACGACAAAAGCATCGTCTGGCTTTCACAGAAGCGGAACCAGACTGTACCAGGTTAACACCTGCCATCACAAAACCGCTTACATATTTTATATACATAAAAACAGTTCAGTGGCGCGTGATACACCAATGTGACCCTCTTCGGTCACATGTCCTTAGCAGACATATTTCTCCCGGGGTTACAGCTACCTGACTTACTGAGGTGTGACGCCTTCAGAACTATCTGAAGAGGCACAACATGCATCAGATATGTTTATTTAAATATATTTGTACAGCGTACCAGGCTACTACCACTATTTCAGTTTTAAGGCTAAGCTTCTGTCCGATAACTTTTGACCTGCTCATTACTGTGTTTATAACATAAAACTTCACCATAAACAACCGCTGGTGTCAATAAAGTTAAAAGCGACTGCCGCTAATTGTCATTCCCAATTTATGGGTGCTAAAATATTGATAGGTTTTGTTCATGGTCACAGAGGGACCTGAAAAAAGACTTGGGGCCTGTTTATTTATGCGGAAGAACCGGTTCGTTTGTTTTCTAATGTAACATTTTGGTATAAATCCCGGCGAACATGCAAACGTTTATTTACGCAGGCCTTGCAAGGCTTTGTCACGGCTCGCCTGATTACTGGGTCCAACCTTATTTCATAACCGAACAACTCTGGTGTAACCGGTTCAGCCGTTTGGATTGCGATAACCCGAAGCGGCATTGTAGACTATAAAAGCACATCTGCTGTTATTGGTTTAATGCAAATGAACTTCCGGTATGTCGACGTTTGTGGTTGAAAAGAAATACCGCCAATATACCTGTATGTATATCTGTATCGGGAATGATTCGGATGATTTACCGGTCATAACCAGGTCACACACTTGGTGAGTATTCGTCTCGAGTTCGGAGGTCCCGAGTTCTACCCTCTTCTGTTACATCGGTGCAAAATAACACCCCTGTTTCAAGTGCTGTGTGCACTGGGCAGAGAATGTTGCAATAAGTATTTTGTTCGCGGGTTGAACACTTAGAAAGAAGATGAAATGTGTCGCGGGTTGAACACTCAGAGGGTGAATAAGTACATCTTTCATAGATATTTCCCGTGCTGTATGAAGTTCTCGTTTCGATTTTCCGTCTGGCCTATCGCATATTTCACGTTCTATTAAACACATACAGTAACGCTCTATTTTGCACGGTCTGGTTTAATACCTTATAAATATTAAAATCAGTCACGTTAACCTATTTTAGTATCAGATACAAATTCAAGCAAATATAGCAACACTTGTAATGTTGTACTGACAGAAAGGATAATCAACTGACCGACTGATACATTCAGGGTTAATTCAGTTTGACATTTAAGTTCTTGGTGAAGTTAAGCATAGGGGAAAGTGACCGAATTAAATGTATCTTCAATTGGGTATATTATCAACACCATCACCTTTCACATCCTCCTTGCATGAAAGAAAAATAACACCAATCTTTTAACAACGCAATATTTATCATTTTGCTGCTGCATTAAGACCCACAGATCTGTTATATTAACCCATAATCTAACATCGACTTTTTTGCCAATATATCAATTATTCTGCATAACTTATTCACCCCTACACATTTAAACTGGACTTGCCCAGTCTTTGATTTGATAAGGTTCAAATGTGACTTTAGGGCTTAATTGGTTAACACGTACTCGTTACGAAACAATTAAGTTTCGATAACGAGTTCAACTTCCGCTCGCAGCCGTATCTGAATCAGTAAAACGCTTGATCTGCTACTGCAAGGTCTATGTATTGATCTCAAAATGGGTAAATGGGATATTCGGAGTAAGAATAAAATGTACAGACGAGTTTTCCTGTTTGGCGTATATGTATGGAGATATCATCATGGTGATAGTACTACAAATCAATAAATCTACTTAATATGACACAACTTGTGCGATCGTTCATGGGAGGACAGGAGTCAAGTCGACGTCCCTTACATAGCTATAGCACTAAACAGTCGAATGTGGTTGAGAGGAAAATAGTCAAGAAAACGGATCCGATACTTGTTGGATGGTAAAACGGTCTTTTGTAAAATATCGTCTTCAAATTTGTAAAAACGTTTTGTACACCGGTTCAAATAGCATCAGTGAACTTTTTTCGTGTAACATTTCGATGATATCCTACTAATATCAACGAAACTTCAAACAAACAGTTCTCCGATTGTGTTTCATGAACCTTTATAAAACGGTGCAGAGTTTCCTGGGGAAAATTGTCAAACTTTGAACATGCATACCGTACCCCTCCCTCTTCACAATAATTGAGGTTTGTGACTGGAAGCAAGAAGGTAGTTAATGTTTTGTGTAAAGATAGTTTACAGAAAATTTACAATGTGTATCTACCTGATGCCGTCCTGCGACGAACAGTTGACGCTTGCCCCCCGGGACAGGAGAAGATGGGCGATGCCCCGGTGTCCGCTCACACAACTCTCGTGTAGAGGCGTGTAACCCGCGTTGTCTCGCACATTCACGTCTACACGACCAGATTGTACGCAATGGAGAGCAATCTCCTACAAAACAAACAAAAATGTCTTCAGTTCAAGTTCAATACAGCAATTGGTGAAAGTAATTTCTCTTGTTAAAATAATGCAGACGTCAAATTCGACTTCCTTAGATCTTGATAAAGTCGAAATAAGTTCGCGTTTTATTACTACGAATTAAAGGTTTAAGTTTAATTTCGCAAAGCATTCACAAAGTTTTCAAAACCTTTCAGTATTGTTTCATATCAAGTGTCAATCATAAGCTATATTAGTAACATTGACGGGACAGGCGAAAATCAGTTCAACTAACCGTATGCCCCATCCGGGCCGCTCTGTGAAGAATGGTTTCCCCGGTATCACGACATACAGCAAGCTTCTTCACTTCCGGCGGAAGTGGGTATGACCCATCGTTCGAGGATTCGGCCTTGGCGTCAAAAGACGAAGCTTCCAAATGTTTATCGACGAAAGGAAGAGGACCATCCGCAGAATCAGTCACATTCCCGACGGCCACCAAATGACTCGGTTGTTCCTGGCATTGTAAAAATAATATTTCATTTTTTTTGTTATTAATATTATTTTGATTGCAGGATGCCATATCAACTTGACGATAACTGGAACGATTACCGTCTGATTACTGTTTAGTAGCATCCCATTATTATACCTCTAGTGAATTTCCTGTAATCTAATTGTTCATTTCACTACCATATTCGCTTTAACATTGAGTGAATGGAAGGGTGCTTCCAACGAGCGATAGTGTCTGTATGGCAGTACAGTGTAGTGAATGCGCAAAGATGTACGTACGGTTCGTTCCAGCCGCCATGTTTGTCTTTCGGTATGATAAAATACGAAGCGAAGCTTCGCGTGACAGTGATACCCTCGGGGCGACCCTAGACACTGTCGCTTTCTTATGAATGTAGTATTCATATATTGTTACATATCACAACGAACTGTTTGACAAGAAAAGATTGTAGCGAACCCTTAAATACCCGGAATCCACTGAATATTGTCAAGACAGACGAAGATGACTCACGAGAATTTTCCATTTTCTTATGCATATTCCGTCGTCAAAATCGAAAAGTTCGGCTTCACAACTACCCTAGAATATGTCAATGACGAAATCTAGAGCTGTTTACGCGTCACCATGCGGATGATAAGAGTTAACTATAGTCCGATGTCTTTGACGAAAATTAGAGGAATCGCACGACAGCGCAACGGTAAAATCGACAAGCTTTGTAGTTTTGTGTTGCTCTGTGATCATTTAAGGAAAGATATCTTGTGATTTGACATATTTTTAAATAAAACCAATTAAATAGTTTACCGCGAGCCTTCGATATCGTTATATCAAATTGGTGTAAAGAAGACACGTTTATTGAGTGAGATGCTTGGATTGCGAGGATGACACATTCAGGATTGTATTTTTAAATCATTTACAACACTTTATAATTAGGAACACAAATATATTTGCGGTTCATTAAATCCGGAACATATGTCCAATTTATCCTGCAACCTTCCAAGACTCAATAAATTTATGCATCAATCAATTTAATATTTTGTTGACTTCCTGCTATATTACCCACCTGTTGCTCTGTGCTGTGCTGTCGGCGTTGATCGTTCAATTTCCGCCTTGCTGCCTGTCCTCTGCGCCTTGCACCCTCGAGCTTATTATCGAGTTCAAGGCGTTTTGAGCGAGCGCCGTTGGCGTCCCTGAGCGTGGTGGTTCGAAGTTGGTACCCACCGCGTCTTGGACTATGTCTGCACCCAAACCGTAGGTGTTTCGGTTTGAACAGGAGTGTCATCATCAGACCCCCTTTACTCTTTCCGCTTCGGAGAGTTTGTCTTAACGCCGAACTGGTGTCCCCGATTTCCCACATCCCGGAATGGTCCGTCTCCGATTCCTTATTTCCATTTTCCCCGGCAACCTTCCCAGATTCAGAAGAATCCTTGTTCGTAGCGGCCTCCTCTGTAGACAAACGTCTCTCTTGAGCCAACTTCTCTTGCTTTTCACTCATTCGACGGCAAATCCGCCGCGCTGTTTGGCGCAAACGCTCCCGTCGCTTGAGCGCCTTCCGACATTCTTCGCGCGTGAGTTCTCGATCATAAGCTGCATTACGGTCGTAAGTCGGCTTCTTACCTGAAATAATTCAACACATCGAGAATAAGTTACTGTACAGTTGGCTGGAAGGTTAATTGTAATCGAACGCACAGCATCGATAATAGATTATGTATATTGAATGGTGAATTTGGTTTTAACATGGAAATTTCAAGGAAGAAACTTTTTTTAATATTTCAGGCTATAATAAAAATCATTCTCTGAATAATGAATAAAGATGTCGCTGTTTGGATGATCAAAGCGACTTGTGTTTGAACGAACAAAATAGAACGGGAAGGGACAAACGATGATTGTGCCGGAACTAACAACAAGATTCCCGTTCTGACATGTTTTTCTGTACATGGTGTCATGCTAATCAGAAACCCCCTGACGTATTTTACATAGATAGCTTGACTAAAAGATTACCACATACCCGCTGCCTGGGTTCGAGTTCGGGGTTCAAGCACCTTTGGTTTGAAATCAATGAAACCCTTGGGTTTGGCGATCTTCTTTTTCTTCTTTCTCCTCCCGATCCATTTCTGTCTTCCTGTAATCAGAGTTTAAGCAGCATACTAATGAATTGTGTTTTAGCTTTCATGAGCACTAGATATTAGATACTATGATACTTTATAAGACTTGAAAGTTTTTCAAGAAGGTGTGGTGCCTTATGTTTTACACACGAATTCCATGAATAGAAATATCAGAAATTTAAATAAAAGAGTTCCTATAGAATAGAAATATCAGAAATTTGAATAAAAGAGTTCCTATCTAGTCTAGCTGGTATTGTGTATCAGATGCGTATTTTACACATGTAAGTCGCTTGAGTGATCGATTTAAAGCATATTCACTGTGTTATTTGAAGTGGAGTGCAACCCGTCACATTGACAAATATGACACTCGTCTCAGATATAGGCCTAACGTCTATATTCCGGAAAACCATCTTACGGGCGGTTATAATCAAGAGTAATTAACATTACTTAATCGGAACATAAATATAATATAAAATCCCGAACATAAATGTAAATTACACGAAGTTTATTACCAGGAACTTTTATATTCCGGAAAACCAGCTAACGGGCGGTAACAATCCATAGCGTTAACATTACTTAATCCTGAACATGAATACGATTTGCAGACATTATAATCCGGAAAAAGACGTTAATAAAAATAAATGTACACGTGACGTTTATAACTAGGAACACGAACGTAATTTACGGAACGAGAAAATATGGAACTAAAAAATATCTTTTACGGGACATACTAATCGGGGGGAAAAAACGTAGTTCACAGGACGTTAAAATCCGGAACATAAATCGAGGGAAATTATAATCTGGAAAGCAAATGTTATTGACGGTATATCGTAATACGGAACATAATCAATATCTTATAATTAACGAGACACTATATACAAGAACACAAACATAATTTACGAGACATTTCACTTTCCTCAATCCAAAATATAATCGTTATTCATGCTTGACTTTAACTTAATACCAGCACTGACTTCACTACTTATGCATAATGTCTCCTAAAATTCATTGCGACAATGAGAGAGTCAATGTCCATGGAAAACACCTTATTTCCATGAGAAACTAAACTATTTAACTCCATTTTAATATCTCTGATGTTTGCATTTCAAACTAGTTTTCAGGGTTTCTAATGATCTATTTGATTCAGTTCATGAAGATTTAAAAAAAAAGCAAGCGAATACATGTTATAAAATGCTTTTGTGGTGTTAACGACATGAATGACGTCATCGTAAGACGCTTCATTTCCCGTTTTTAAAGGGCCTACTTGTTTACATCGTAATTTGAGCAGCAATTACACGTCTCGTCGCCTCTCTGACATTTTAATGGTATGTAAATTATGTGCATTGCCTACATAGAACCGCTCGCGTGACGAATGATATCAGATTGTAGAACGCTATTGTCAGACGGAGCCATTACGTCTATATTTGTATTACGAGGTTGACTCTATGTGGCAACATGTATTTGCATGTCTGACGGAACAGATAAGATATATGAAACGTGTTATTATATTTTTTACCTTACTTAAGGACGCCCGTACCACTGCCAAAAACTCTAACTATGCATTAGAAACTGATCAATGATCAATGTTCAATTTTCAATTTGAAAAGAAAACCACACCGTGCGAAACTTTCATGAAAAATAATAATAAAGATGACATCAATAGTGTAAAAATGCAGTGAAGTCGCGCCAGGATTCGAACCTTAGACATCAGATTAAACTGTCGCTCTATCTAACTAAGTAACCTGGTCAACGGAATCATCCTGACCCAGTCGCGGAAGTTATTAAGGGGAATGGCAACAAATGATTCACCCGTTGGCAGTATCATGTGACCGGGCGGAATACTGTGCTTGGTGCCTTTGGCATGGCACTTCAGTGAGATAGCACAATAATGTCGGCATCATATTCGCGCTATCGCAAGCAGGCAAGCACATCAACATACCCTCTCTCCTGCATACACACACACACGCACGCATACACTCACTATCACTATACACACACGGAGGCACGTCCTTAAATAACCTTAGCTGTTATTAGGACGTTAAACAAAATTAAACCAAACCTATATTCAAAATGAAATCAAGGGAAAACAGTAAGTAGGTACGAAGACGTAGAGTGGAGTTCTCTTGTGTTTTGCTTGCATTGGGACAGGTACAAATTGTATCCTTAATCTGTTTACTTCGTCTACTTACCAAGTAAACGGTCTGTCCTGCTCATGCGCTGTTTAGTTCCTCTAGCTTTCCTTCTTATCTCGTCAGCCTAGCAAAACAAATATATGACATTAGTGAAAACTCGTTGACTTGTTTTCGAGTCGGTGACTTGTTTTCGACTTGGGGATTTGTGTTTGACTCTATGACTTGCTTTTTAAGTCAAAGAAATGTTTGAGCCGATAACTTTTTGACTCGAGGACCCGCTATTCAGTCGAATTGTTTTTGACTCGATGACTTGCTTTTTACTTAATGTCCTTTTTTAGCCGAGAAACTGTTTTCGATTCGAGCTGTTTGTTAGTGTTAGAACTGTTTTAAACAGTGTGTACTATACAAGTACCACGAGTTTATTATCATAACATTACTATTCGCAACAGCAAATGTCAAATAAACGTATCTACAAACGATGGCGTCATTCGAAGCCCCGCCATAATGAAATGTCGAAAGTTTGTCTCGAAACTAGGAAATTTTATCCGGTCAGAAATATATGGACAACGGTCTCATATTCCGTCAGTGGACCGTGTTAATATATTTATAAATGGTACTACGGCAGCGTGCGTGTCCCGTAATTGTGTATATCAGATGTGGTGTGTCATTACAAAGTGTAGAGGGGGCAACCAACCCATAGAAAATCATTATACATTTAAATCACATCATAAACTTGAGAGTAAACAAGATATTTAGACTTCCTCGTCGGAATTCACACGATAAGTTTAAAAAGTCATGACAGCTGTTACGTATACGGCCCCACCTGAAATCCTACACTGGGTTCAGTGTGATTATGCAACATGTTTCATACATACAGCACAGACAATATCACCCGTGTTATGCTCTGTTGCAGAACATGAATGATCCCTAACTAACTGGAAGGGTTGGGTGGCATAGCGGATAACGTCATCGCCTTTCAACAAGACGGCCGTGGTTCGATTCCCCGGTCGGACGTGAAAAGAAATGGGGTTACCTGCCCGACCACGCGAGTCGTCTGCGGGTTACTCAGGTTTCCTACCACACTAGACCGCGTGTGCATGCCAACAACAGTGTTTAGTATACGTTATAAAACTCCTTTCATTATTGTTGTTAAATAAACAAAGTTAATGTTTTTATGTTTCATGTATGTAGTACCATATACAACGAACCAGAACTAAAACAAATTGGAGATAAATAAACATCAAATATTTCCATTGAATCGTGTTTGGATCAATAGCCAATTTATGACAGTTAAGGTAATATTCAAGAGCAGACGACAGTTTATTTGCAAAAAAAAAATAAAGAATGAATAACAAAACATCTGCAATTTCCCGCAAATTTCGATTACAACTAGTCACTCCAGCAGCAACGCAATCATAACGTTATCAAATTTCGATTGAAGTCAGAAATTTCCCAGGTTTTTCATCGATCAATATTTCATCCTGACAGAATGCTGCAATCTGGTAACATTAAAATGGCAACAGATGGGTATAGTTAGACACATCGTGTACGTATATATGTGCAATATGTATGGACTGAAATACATCTCACATTTACGAACCCCGGCTGCTTACAAACATTATACGTTGACAACATCATGGACAATTATATTTCATCATTCTTTGTGTTTTTTTGTTTTTTTTGTTATTCATGGTACAAATTAAACAAACTGTTATAAACAAATAATGAACAGACATTTCTTGTGGGAACAATGTCGTGTTTTTATGGTTACCATTTCCGTCATTCGATGCACTTTGCTCGGAAACCTTTCGGGTGTTTCCGTCAGTTTGATGGACCGATTACACTAACAGCTGGACGGAAGACACGAATATTTTCCGTTAAAGGTTTATTCATACCGGCGACAGGGAAATGTTTAGTTAAATATTCATGTATTGTTATTCCAAAAATGTTTATTCATTTCTCATAAATAGATATCACCCAATTTACATTTTTATGTCAATTTGATATTTCTGGGACGTGGTTCCACTATAAGTAGAAAGCGAAATAATCTTTGGATCACGTAGGCCCTGGAACAGGTGTAACTTTGCTCTGAAAAGGCCACTTTGGTATACTTATGTTTGGTAATATTTTGGAGATAAACGATAAATATAAGCAGAAAATTACGTAGTTCTAATAGGACCCAAGGGAGGTCCTGGTCAAATTTCCCCTCAAAACTAGCTTTTGTTTTGGAAAAAAAATCTAAATATAGTATCCAAATAGACAGCGTCGCACGTGCGGCACGTAAAATAAGGTACTTACGCTTTTGAAATTATTTCTAACCTTGAACTGCCCGTGTAACCAAAACCAACGTATGTAACCGATGTATACAGTTGAATTGACATAAAAGTGTATCATGTCGTGAAAATTGCATACATAAATAGACTTTTTTTAAGCTGCATGCCAACTCCTTGGTCCGCTTTTCTACAATCGACTCCTTTGGGAACAGAGACGTTAATTGGCAAAGAGGACATTGTCTAAGGAAGTTTGATTTCATAAGCTGAATTTAGTGTTTATATTATATCTATACATTTTACTAGTCCCAACAATTTCATATTTCGTCAGTTATTCTGATATACCTACATAATACATCATTTAGCAACTAGTCCTCTGTCAATGCTGGTATCATTACGACATCACTTTGCCAAATTATTGAAACTGTAATTGTACATCATGTAAAAGTCACTGAAGTTGGTACTGGTATGTAAATGATATCGATTTCCATCTATGTATATATATGGGTTTTATCATGTTTAAATATTATTGTAAATAGCATGATGCCCATTGCATTATTGATGCAATTATATAATTGTTTAATGGAAGAGGATGTTTTGAAGTTGTAATAACTTGTGTCCAATTCCTTTTGAATTGTTCAAATAAAATATGTTTAAACTAGACTAATTATCAAAGGCCGTAGTTAAGATGAACAACATATGGTATAATTAATTAGTGGGAGCGTGTATTAATATGGACAACATATTTGCATAATTCTTTATTTTTTTATAAAAGTAAATTAAAACACTTTACATACATAAGTTGTTTTAGTTCTTTCTAAGATGTCACGGCTATTCGCCATCCATCATTCGTCTTGACGCGTCAGAACGGATAATGAATGTTGGTATTGCATGTCTAATGTCAAAACACTATATACGTGTCACCTACGTCTCCAGATGTCCCTTTAGCAAGCAACAAACTGAACGATTAAAGTGGAATAGCCATAGATGTGTTCTGTTTATGAAGATATGTCTATAGAAGACAATAATAGAATATTTAGAAACCTGCAAAAAGCAGTAAAGCAAAAAACTGGCAAAAGAAACTTCAATGTTAGAAGAAGAGATTATCCTCGCAGTATTTGACTTAATCTCGCTTTCCCCGGAATCTCGCTCGCACGCACGCACGAAGTCTCGAGAGCAGAGCAAGAGTATGGGGAAAGCAGAACTAAGAGTGATACGGAGTAGACGGAGGCGAGGACAGAGGACACTCACCTGTTATATTAGATTATTTGAATAGGTTATATGTAATTATTATGTAAAAATATTCAGTAATGATATATAAATACGTGTCCCATTTTGATATTGGTAGACTTCAATAAACATGTTTATGATCTAATACATAAACTGTGTCTGCAGACAGTCAGATTTAGATTGTCTGTCGTTCGTGTCTGCCAACAGTACGATTAAAATTGACATTCTTACGTGTTAACAATAGTAAGCTTAAATTGTCAGTCGTCTGTGTCTGCCTACATTATTATTTAGATTGTCAGTCGTCTGTGTGTGTCGACTGTAAGATTTTGATTGTCTGTCGTCTGTGTCTGCCTACAGTAAGATTTAGATTGTCTGTCGTCTGTGTCTGCCGACAGTAAGTTTTAGATTGTCAGTCGTCTGTGTCTGTCGACAGTAAGATTTAGATTGTCAGTCGTCTGTGTCTGTCGGCTGTAAGATTTCGATTGTCAGTCGTCTGTGTATGCCGGCCTAACGACTATGCTCGTTAATTGAAGGTGTTTGCCGACTGTAAGGTCAGAATTGATATTTCTTCAGTGAAGTTTTAAGGTTTGTTATTATATCTATCTACCAAAAGTTAACTAATTTTGAGATGTTATAAAAGACACGAGGTTTACCGATGTTGCTAAACAAGCATTATTTTGCTATAATGGACGCTAGTTTATTTCCTATGTTTCGAATTAGCAGCACATTAACTCATTCATCCCTGAAATTTCATAATGAACTATTTGAACCTTGGAGTTGGAAGGGTTCAAATGTGTCTTCAGGGGTGAATGAGTTAAGGTCAAATTATCATAACATACAATTGACCGAGAATAACATGTTTTTTGACTACGTTTTATCATAAATTTCAATGTTAATTATCTTCTTAATGTATTTTTGTTGGTTATTTAATATGTATTTATAAGTATGAAATATCATTTGCTTTGCACAGTGCCTAGATTAACCTTGTGTCCTATGTTAATTATTTCCCAATAATATACAATTGGTGACGTCACCAAAAAAGGACGAGGAATACACGAAAATAGTACAACCGAGGTAAAATATGCACCCACGCAATGTTGTACCTAATATATTGAAATGCAATTAACTATTATTCCATAGTGTTTCTAAGTATTGTCTCCATGGTACTATTTGGGTTTGTGTATGTCGCTAGCTTGTTGCCATAGATACATCAAGTATATGCCACGATTCCCGCGGAAATAGACTGGCTGTGTAATCAATTGTCGCTGTTGCAACAGACGTGTTTCTGTGCGTATAAGAATATTCTGATATTTATTGAAATTGTTTGAAAGACCCAAAACGATGTTGATTAAATACAATGAAACTATGAGGAATGTCTTTCATTCTCTTAACGTTTTTAGGATTGCAACATACATTTGGGGTAAAAAACAAACATTCTGCTGCACCTTGAATAACTGGTGGCTGTGGATTAACTGACAAGAATAAATGGAATATTAGTACGCGAGGTCCTTGAGTCTGTTGTTTGATTTTACTTACCTTGAGTTTAGTGTTAGATTGTTTCGTGGGTTTAGGAGATGACGGGGGTAGGTCGGGTCTCTCTTCCATTTCCTCAAACCGTTTTATAGCTCTCTGTAACCGAAACGACTTTTTTTCAATAGATAAAATGACGTTCAAATCAATAGTGGTAGTCTGTAGTGCAGTCAATACAAAGAACACAAATATTATTCATATTTCTGTCATAGCAAGTCAAGTACTACCAAAACGATTTGGTGATAGATGTTACATTTTAATAAATGCTTTTCATCAAAATCACGTTTTCCCAATTTGAGGTTAAGTTTGATAATGGTAGCAAAAAATTGCATGTCAAAAATAAGCATTATAATTCCGGATTGTTTTGGCCAATTTCGCTGTTGTTGTGTGGGGTTGGAATGGAGATTGAGAGGAACATGAATACTTCTAATGAAACCTGGAAGTACTGTCAACAAAACAATAAGCATGCTTCTGTGGTCAGGGACCCCGCCCACACAGCGCCATGTTTGGAGATTGATGACGCAGGTTGGATTGGGCTGTAAACGACTGCTCAGCGAGAATCTCGTGAAGCGTGCTTTCACCGCACGATACCGCTTGCTAATGATTTTCCCATGCGTAACTTAAACAAGAGTACATCTAATCTGAACTCATATTGACCCACCATTTACCAATAAACGCTTATACGACTTATAAAACAGCTATCAAATTTCATTTTTTTCCCATAAACCAGACTTTTGACGAACGTTCCAGCGGTAGACCTTGCGTTCTGGTTTTGCTAGCAGAAATAAACAATCTGTATTGCTGTTTATCGGAAATGTAGCCTGCATCTGTTTCAACACATCACGGCAAACACTTAACAGGAATATGATGCTACAAATATCGATAGCTGATTTTACATAAAGCAATAACACAAATTTTATTTTTTTTACATTTGTTTTGTACAGTAAGAAACCTCATCCAAATCGCAACAGACAATAATAGGGAAAAAATAATGATATACCGGAAACGCCCCCAAAAATATAGATATTGAAAGGGTCTGTCTCTATAGCTACTACTTCTTCATTGGTTATTTCCGGTCGCCTTTGGAAGATAAGATGAGCATAGATTTGAATGTACATTGTATCGATATACTAAATTAACCAACAATTGTTATGTCGTCAAAAGAAAAAAATATGTCCTACATATTTCAGAAACTTAAAATATTTGTTGTATAGATTTTAAAAGTGAATAAAAATAGGTCAGCCTTCTAGTGTTCTCGGGAAAGTTTCCGCTTTTATCAGAGCAAATGATCGATGCATTCCGTTTTCCGGAAACGCGTCAAGCTAGTTGTTGTTAGTAACAAATACACGACTAAGTACACTTTTAAAGACTATTTGCGTATAACCTTTGAACGGATTTTTTTGTGATTTCTTGAATAACAGCCTTGCGTGGATCTAGTCTTCTGTATTTACATAAAACTTACCAATAAAGCTCTCTCCTCCCGACCAAGTGTTGCCGGGTCATCGGTTAAGAGGTCATCAGTCTTGGCCTTGACCTTGGACTCCGCCACATAGCCGTCAGAATTGGCGATTTCCGCTAGCAGAGATCGAGTCTTGTCGGCCGAGGACGACCGTGATTTGTCGGCCGAGGATGATCGAGACTTGTCCGCCGATTGTGATCGAGATGTACAATATTTCCGCTCGTGGATTAAGTCTTCCTCATCCACGTCAGACTGGACAGGACAGTCGGATATCACAGTTTTACGCTCGTTTGTCTGTTCATCTGATAATTGCTTCTGTCGATTTAAACTTTTCATCATGTTACGTGATCTTGAAAAAGTCGAAACGTCATTTTTATCTAACACTAGCAAATCGTCGTCAATAAAACGCTCGTCAAACTTGATATCACCAAACGTTTCACTGACACTGATACTGGACGGTTTCTGGTCAACGGGCTTATTTGGATCGATGTCACATTTAAAATGGTCACATGACTCCGGTCTAGTGACGTCAACTTTTGTTTTTGATGACGTTGTGCTATGGCCGTGCACCATCGGCGATACGTTGGCTACGGGGATGTTTTTACTATACACAGAATTCCATTTACTGAAGGAGTTACCTCCCATTAAGGAATGATCACCACGACATGAACGGCTATCTCCATCACCAAAACCACTATTATCCTCTAAACGACTTTCTGACTTATCACTTATTCCTCCAAGAGAAAATTTTCGTAACATTGAAATCTTTGAGTCTAAACGCAATCGCTGTGATGACACGTCTGGTGGGTCGAGGGTAGGCGGTTCGCCTATGAGAGGCGATACCATGGCAGGCGACAACTTCTGCTGGGGGCTCAGAGTGGGCATCTTAGGGGACTCGGGGAACGTAGGAGAAGGATTTTGAAAACAATTCTGATGATGTTGGTCCGATGTGACATAGGGGGTAGGTTTAGGCCTTGGGGGAGTGACGATGTTTACGATTTTTTTCAAACATTCGTCATTGTTAACAGCATTCATGATGATCTGTTTCTTCGAATATGGTCTTGGAGCTTTCACTATCACAGTTTCAGATGGTTTGTTTTCCTTGGCAGTTGATTGGCTGGACTGATTAGTTGAAGTTGCTGCTGCGCTCCCAGGAATAGCTATTGTAAGTGGATATGTATATTTCTCAATTTCGGGCTCTTCCGCCTTGCGGACGTCATCGGTGTTACCTGTCACTGTTTGGCATTTGACATATTTTTCCTTTTTGATATCAGTTTGTAAAGCTTTCTCATTATTTAAGACACTCCTATATGTTGGTACTTGCTTCGGGACGGGAAAAGGTTTTTCCTCCTTGATCCTAACGATTTGATCCATGGTATCGGACGGCTTTGCGGCAGCGCCATCAGACGGGACACGATCTGGAGCAGTGCGCTGCACTGAAGAATGTTTAAAAACCGAATGCTGTACACTGATTTTACTATCACAGACATTTTTGTTGGAATGAATACCTTGATTGTCGCTAGATGGCGCTGTACACACACCGCTCGTGCCCTTAATTATGGATCTCTCAGTGGCACGAGACATTGGGACAACAGGTGAGGACATGGCACTATGCACAAGGGGACTCAGCGAGTGGGATAAATACGGTAATACATTACGGCCACCAGAGGGCGAGCTACCGCGTGACCCTGTCTTTGACTGCACAGAGTGTTGGCGCAGGGCGGAAGGTGAATGTCCTCTGTACGATGAAGGCGAGCCTCGCGACAGAACTCCCGGGGAACTCTCGCGCGAGTACATCGGCCCGTTGGTAGTTCCAGCGGGCGAGTGGGGCTCGGCGAATGTATGTGATGTAGGGGTCAGGTGGGAAGTGAACCCTGCGCCCTGCTCCAGCCGTCGCGATGGGTCAGCAGTCATCATGGCCCTTTGCTGTTTTAATCTGTCATTATACGTTTCCGTGTCGCTATGGAATTGTTTTGGGGAATTCGTAGACATTGTGCTGTCGGGACTACATCGTTGAATGGCTTCAAAATGTGGGGAATGTCGCCGGGACATAGTTCCCCCGCTCATGTTGTAATACTGAAGGCTATTGGACGGACCGAAACCGGATACAGTTGTCCGGCCGGACTGACCGGTGTGGTTGGAATAACCAGAATGACCAATAGAGCCAGCGAGCACTGTACCACCCGAATGACCATTGGTGCTAACGGAGAGGCTGGTCAATCCGGAATGACCAGCACTTGTGGAATATGTAGCATTTGTTTGTTTCTGTATTGATGTTTTTTGTAGCTCGTTTGAAAACCCGGCAGCGTCCATTGCGCTATGCTTAACAGTGAATGGTTGACTAATAGAACCACGTGACTCCACCTGTTTACTATAAAAGAGTTTACTCGTGTCCGTGTGCTGTGAGGAGTTAGCTGCTCTTGTGTTATCACATATTGCATAGCCAGGGAGAGCCTGCTGGCCTGGTTGTATGTCCTGTTTTCTGGGTCGATGTGGGGCGTACCCTGTCAAAGCAGTGGATGCCTTTTCAGATAGTTTGGGCTGCATATACCTCTCGTGAACAATATCGTCACGTGACTGTCGTTGTTGTTGTTGTTGATGATGATGTAGATGATGTTGTCGCTGTAGTTGGCGTTGTTTCAGCTCCTGTTGGAAAAAGGTGTTCGAATGAATTTGCTCCTGTTGTGTTGTTTGACTCATCGCTTTATGTTGATGGTCATGCTTGTTATATTGGGAGTGATTTTGAAACCCATGAAGTTGTTGTTGCTGTTGCAGCTTCTGTTGTTGCTGCTGTTGTTGTTTCAACTTTTGCTGGTGATGTTGGGACAGCTGTTGTTGAGGTGTCAGTTGTTGTTGTTTGATTAACTGCTGTTGTAATGAAATCTGCTGTTGCTGTGATGACAACGATTGCTGTGGTGACAACGATTGCTGTGACGACAGATGTTGTTGCGATAACTGGTGGTGTTTTGACAACTGCTGTTGTGGGGACAACTGGTGATGTTTTGATAAAAGTTGTTGTTGTTGTTGATGCTGTTGTTGTTGTTGTTGTTGTTGTTGTTGTTGTTGAGCGAGTTGCATCTGTTGTCCCAACTGTTGTTGTCGTTGCTGCTCTAGCTGGTGCTTCTGAGACAGTAACTGTTGAGGCGACAGATCCTGCTGAGGTGACTGTAAGGATTGCTGACGCATTTTTAACTGTTGTAAATGTTGTTGGTGTTGCTGCTGCTGTTGCTGATGTTGTTTCTGTTGATAATAATGATATTGATGTTCCTGACTATGTGGAGGAGTGGAACCTTTGTCAAGTGAAAATCCATTTTTGATCACGGTTGGTTTAGCATCAAACCCAGAACTTAGTTGTCGTTTAAATAGAGCACCTTGATTTCCACTATGTGTATCTTCGTATTCAGATAAACTAGGTCGGGAAGGAAATTCTCTATCAAGTGGTTCCGGGGTTCCTGCGACCCCTTGACAAACTCGCTTTGATCCCGTAAACACACACAATTGTATATGATTTTCATCCGTGGAATCAGCCGTTCTTTTTCTAGTTTTTAACGATAAATCTAAAGGACTCTCCGCATTACGAGTCGGTTTTGTTTGCACACTAAACACCGATAAATCCAGAGGGGTTGCTGCAATAATTTCCTCCAGTTGCTCCCCGTCCATGTGTTCCGAAAGTACAAGCGTCCTCAGAGATTTCATTGCGGGCCGAGGAGTACCGGAAGAGGTCCACTCGCCACCTCCAGACATGCCATTCGTTTTAATTTCTTTAAACATCTGAAAAATATAAATGTATATTCATTATTAAAACACAGCTGTGATGTCATCCATTCTAATTTGCGTACTATATCCAACAGAATTCATAGGCATCACCTGTAGCCGTCCAATAAGTTACCTGTAGCTGTCCAATAAGTTACATGTAGCTGTCCAATAAGTACACAAAATAATCCACTTATTGGACAGCTACAGGTAACATATTGGACAACTAAAGGTAAGCTTTTGAATGAGCACATAATTATGCTATACAATGGAAAACATAGTAATAGAATAAATGTGATAATAAATATTTATTAAATGTAACAGACATTAAATATCAACATTCTTAAAGTATATCCGGTATTTATATTCCCATAGTCAGATTTCCCATGCACTATATTTTTTCCTTGAAAGAAGGTTTGAATCACCGAACACTCTTTTTACATGAAACATCCATATAGATGCATACATATCCAAACACTTTACTGAGAGACACATCTCCAGCATTAATTGTAATTTCCTTTGAATTCTTAATTTTGGCAATAACACTTTGGAGTTGAGGGCAGTTGAAATCTTGCGTTTTTCCCACAATTTATGTGCACAAAATTTCTTTCGTATCATCCCTTGAGATATTCGTGTATAATCCCAGATATATACACATGTAGCTGTGATATATCTTTGATAAAAATATTTTGGAGATGGTGTTGAAATCTTGAATCTCACTTTAATTGTGTGGTTTAATTCTTTCATTTCATTCTCTCACAGATATAAGCCCAGAAAAACCAATCACATTATTTGAATTTAATCCATTTCAATACTGAATGCTGATGCTCAAAATTATTCAAACGTGACTAAATTCTACTCGGACATATTTCACCCACCTGTAATGCTTGCACTTGTACAAAAGCATGCAAAGTATGCTAAAGGACACCACTGTCCGTCATTGTATCAACAGCCTTCGTGGTTGATTGCACAAACTGAACAAATATTGAAACTGTCCAATATTAACACAAAGAGTGTGTGTGTTTTAAGTACGATATAAGCCTCAGACAGTTTTCGGCGTATATCCTTTACGTAGTATGTATGAATTTAAAGTGAATACGTGTATAGCATCTGGCCAAGTAAACGTAGATTAAGTTGCGGACAACCTCGCGATGTATTGACAATACAATTACGTAACAGACACACAGGGAATTTGCTTCCTGACGCGTGAGCTGTAGGTCTGGCGTGTCGACTTTACTTACATTCGTAAACAGTCGACCTCGCGTCGTTTACGTCACGAAAAGTAGTGCGTGTCTCAACTCATTCACCCTTCAAATTTCACAATATTTAATATTATTTAACAAAATCAATTCCTGTCGTTTATCTTAGGCTTATTTACAAGTTTCGAATGTCATCCCATCGTTTACGCATAGAAGAAGGCAGATATTGTAATACCCCAAGGGCCCATAGAATTTGTCTACATTGTAACCAAAATCAAATAGAAGATGAATTTCATTTCATTTTAATTTGTCCTCTATACGCAACTTTACGTAAAAAAATTATCAAAAAATATTATTGGAACCGTCCGTCGTCCTATAAACTTGTACAGTTGCTAGCAGTTCGTAATAGGAAAGAACTTTGTCATTTAGGTAAATATTTACAATCAAGTTTACTATTACGCTCGACATAATGTGCATTGTTTAATTATCATGTGCATGCTTTTTCTTTTTATCTCCAGATAAAAACTGATTACTTCTTACTTCATTTGATTGAGATTCTTCCAATCTTTCAATCATGTACATTACTTCAATTAATCATCTCATTAATACTTTTCTTTTGTCATTTGTATTCTCATGTGCGTACAACTGTCCGCCATCTATCAAATCAGCTTGTCTTGTACAATGTAGGTTATGTTACATGTTATTCAATATTTGTGTAATGTTTTCGACACCCTTATTGTACATGTACACATTAATTACTCTGTATTATGCTGTAATGCTTATGGGCCGTAAGGCTGAAAGGGAATAAACAATACAATACAATACACAATGAACTATTCCCACCTTTGAATTGGAAGAGTTCAAATGTGACTTCAGGGATGAAGGAGTTAACCAACAAAACATAATGTTACTATATTACATCATTAAATATACTGTGATAAGAATTGATGATAGCTTCCAGTGATAATAAACATGGTTTTAAGCACAAATAAAATGGCGTTTGAAAATATTACTATACAGAAGCGAGAAAACGACAAGGCTTGAAGCCTCGAGTTCAGATCGAACATGACGCACGCCAGCTCCGGTAAAGAATTGCCGCCAATCATTTGTTCACAAGTCTATACAAACACGCAAATGTCCTTGATAAGAATAGTTAATATTTACTTATATTAAACTGTAATAGATAGTGACTTCAATACATTAAATGCATAGTCTAACTTCAAATCAATAAATACGTATGGCCCATAAAACAAAATGTTTGGCGACACGTTAAAAGAGAACCGTTAATAATTACGATATCGATTTTTCAACCAATATAATTTCCAAAGAGGCTATTGTAACAAAAGGAAATATATATGTCCAGTACACTTTTCCTGGCGATACGTCAGTTGTTCAATGTTTCATTTGAAAATCGAAAATCGGGACAGTGTTGTACTTATTGAACCACACTACAAATTATACCTGCAAAGAATTTGAAAATTACAAATAAATCAAATCGGGTATCGGAGAAGAAATGTATATTCGCTCTTAGTAGCGAAAGCTCGGATAGTAAAACCAAATCTTTTTCTAAATGAGGTCCACAATAGTTTGATAATAACAAACATTTTCATTTCGAAATACGGGTAATTACAATCAATTATTTCATTACTATCCTAGACTCAATTTTACCATAATTGATATTAATCATAATGTTTTAACAGGAAAAAAATCCTGGAAGATGAAAGCACCATGCCATTTTCAGCAAATTTAGTCAATATGAAAAAATAAGAGGGGGACATTATATGTAAATTAAAGAAAGTGGAGATTAGACGGAGCCACACTTTGATGGGACTACTTCCAATGCCCCTTAGCATTGTTATTCCTATTTTAACAATCTGGACTATTTATAATTACGTCATCCAGTGGGTTTGGTATAACTACGCTATTTCCCTGACCGAATTTATCCTCTGACCGATTTTGTATCGCCACTGCATCTGATGTGTAATGTATTTATACACATGTACTATAAGTATAGCACGTACAACACTCATGTTACTACACAAATCATTATCCGAAACAAAAAGTCAAATGTCAATGAACACTCTACAATGGCGAGTGATCCGATTCCCGGCCTACACGTTACATCCGGGAAGGTTGACACTTTCGCACTATTTCGCATCATAGAAATGAGTATCTATTTACGTTACTGATCCCCGGAAACGAGGCTGAAGAACGCGTATTTAATCCAGTACAGTAGAGCGTTATACCGGATAAGCACAGACACACAGTTTTTTATAGAGCCGAAAAGCGGAAGTTGTCTAACACAACAACTCAGATGTGCATATACATGAATACTATAGGCTGCATACGATTTCCGGGTATTTTTTCACATGTATATCACTCGTACATCTATAAAGTATTGACGACCCACGCCTACACCCGCGACTAACGTATAATATGAAACGGAAAAAATGCAATATTAAATGTATATCACGTTCCAGGCACCGCTTTTACTCTTACACCCGAAAGTGACACATCATATGGTAGTGACGCATTTTCAGAATGCTTTTGATACGATAGGTTTAAGATATTACACATTTTTTAAACTAGTATATCTATATCATTCTAGTACTAGTTCGCTTCGAAAATTTGACAACATTAACTTGTTCACAATGTTGGAATTACTTCTTTGCCCCATATATCATACTAGTTATATATACGAGGTCTGCGCGTGTGGATCTTATGTAACTGCTTATGACATATTCTTCACCGGAAGTCGTATACCAGCGTTGGTATATACCTCCCGCTAGGGGTCATTAACTTCTAAAGCTATTTACATCCCTAACACGTGTTTTCAGTATTATCCGTAGCACGTGCACCAATTCCCTAACTGGGTCGCGTTATCTGTGTAGATTCTTCTATGAGTACACATTTCATATGAGATTTTAAGCAACGAATTGAAAAATAAAACTTTTTATCTCGCCAGATGCTATCTAACAGTCGTTAAAGGTTGAGACATTTCTTGCTCGGTATGTACCATTTCGTCGTCATTATGACCTACTAATTACAATCTGAGAGTTCGTGACGGCCTGGGGACAGTACCCATTGCCTTCCTCACCTGGATGCATGCTCAACATTAAAGCCAAAAGTGAGTAATCTAATCTACTGGATATTACTAGGGTCGGACTTACCGTAATTTTAACATATGCAATGCAAGTACACCTGAACGACTTAAAACGCTGAGCATGTATTTTTCAGCATACATGCTTGCATCTTATAGAGGCTATGTCCCCGCCAATTACTTCGAGTTTCAATAAACGTTAACAGTTTTTGTCTCATCAAATGCGTGATGTTTCCGGAACCCAGACTTTTATGATGACGTGTTGGTTAATGTTTTAGTATTTTAGTTGCTTCCGGGAATAAACTATCACGCAAATGAGCATTACATAACATCACGTTGTGTATTTTGATATCCTCATGTTCACAGCTAAGCTGACTTTACATTCCTTGATGCAGGGTAAACACAACAAGGTTCCGAGTTTGTTTATGTGAAGCTTCCAGACGCGTTCGTATGGCGCCGGCTTCAGTGATGTATTCCATCGAAGATGATCGAATCGGCCGAGGAGTTCCGATTGTGATGCTGACAATGCATGAGGCAGTAAGCATTTCGGAACAAGGACAATTTTCCTCTTGAATTACTATAAAAATGAAATAACAACTCGATGCCATTTTATTGTGGAGAAGATATAGTATAACTGTGGCTGATACACATATTACCTGTATTACGTATCTAGATACTACTAGAGACACTAGACGTTTTTATTAGATTCTCTAATAACT